GGGGAAGGCTGGGGGCGGGGGCGGCAAGGACTGGGGACGGGGGCGACCGCCTCTCCTCGCTGTCCCGAGGCAAACCCCAGCAAGGGAGAGAACTTGGGTCGGCGAGGAAGTGGGGTCACTCGCGCCTCCCAAGTCACCGAAACTGCGCAGCGGGCAGGAACCACAGCGGTTTAGCACCTCAGCCGGTGCGGGCGCCGTCTGTTCTCTGTGTCACCTGCCCTCATGGGGCGCGCAATGGCCCCAGGACGCGCAATGCAAACTGTCCAGGAATTCTGGCCCCCTTCAGGGCAGAACTCCAGGTCTCGGGGCCCAAGGGAGGAGGCGGGTCTGGGATCAGGGGCCCAAGCGGGAGTGCTGCGGGTCCAGGCTCCGGTTTCCAGAGGGTCTTGCGCCCTTCGGATCCCCAACAATCGGAAGAGACGCATGTGGAGCAAGGGCGCAAACCCCGAACACTTGTTTCAGCTCCCACTGTCACCCACCCTCGAGTTCGTCTGTCTGCATCTGCGTACGTGACACCCGTCCTATCTATCTGTCCCCTCGAACATGGGCTCGACTCCTGTGCTGGGAGACGCGTAACACCCAGGAAGCAAATCCCAGGGCTCCGGCTCCTCCGCGTCCCCACGCCTGTCGCTAGAGGGCAGTGGTCTCCCGCGCAGAGGCCTTGTGCGCCGGGGTTGTCGCCCTGGTGGCTGGGACCGGAACCCGAGGTCGAGCGTGGGGTACGGTGGGAGAGCACGCCCCGAAGGACCGGCTTTTTGCCCTTTTCACATCAAAACACCAGTGTTTCCCCTCCGTTCTTTCGGACTTTTCCCTCCCGTGTGTGACAGGGACCTTTTCTGCTTCTAACTCGCAACCCTGCTCCCGCACTCCTGGTGCGAAGGGCGCTCTGGTCCTTGCTCGGGGGGCTGCTCTGCCTCCCAGGCACGGTAAAGTGACGAGGGCTGCCTCGCTCTCCTGTCTGTAATACGAGCGACTTGCTGGATGTGAGCATAGCAGGCTCAGATCTCCACAGATTTGGAAACACACGGAGGCAGGAAGCTGCGTGTGTGTGTGTGCATTGTGTGCGCGGGCTCGCGCACATGTGCGTGTGCGTGTGTGTGTGTGTGTATGGCTGCACCACGCGATTCTTCTTGAGGCTTCCTGGTCCTGGTAGGGGTGTGTCTCTTTAGGACCTTCAGGAGGAACGAGCTTTCCAAAGGGGGCTGACGCCTGGTTTGTCCCAAATCCTCCATCTGCAGATGTGGGAAGCTGAGAAGCAGCCTGGAAGCGAGCAGCCCACGGACCGGAAGCCAGGGCCCTCGGCCTCCCTGCTTCCTTCCACCTACCTCAGGCCCACTTTGTTTAGTTGGAGACAGAATGCTGTCTGCTTTGCCTTACGTTTCTTGGGAGAGGCCATAGTGCTCACTGAGGCTCACATGTCAGGAGAGAAAGAAAGAAAAGGGAGGCGCCCCTGAGGAAGAGCTCCTGGGTGCTCAGTCCAGATTCTTGAGATGTTTGGTGCTCAAACGTGTGTGCTGATGAAATGCAATGAATGAATGAATGAGTGAAGGGGAAGAAGGCTGACTTTGTTTGCATGCCCCAAATCAGTGACAATCTCTCCCTCACTTAAAGCTACAAGTCATACATTTCTGTACTCCTTTCTGAATATTTTGAGTAGCGGCAGTGTCGGAGATGACCCTTCCCCATGTGAAGGACAGCAACGGGGCAGTGCATCTTTCAGGAGGCAGAGTTTACAGAAAAGATGCAAATGGTGCAGTGGGTGAGGGGAATCCATTTCGATGATCTTTTAAATGTTTCTCAAGAGCTAACAGATTTCGACATTATGTTCTGGGCAAAAGGTGCTTCAGCCCCCAAACAGGGGAGGGGAATCCACCCTCAAGCATTTAATCCACAGTTTTCCGATTTTCAGGCCAAGATCAAAACCTCACCCTGCTCTGTTTCTAGGGTGTCAAGCATGAGCTCACAGGGACTCAGCCCAGAAACCGTGAAATACGACTTTAGGAGCCTGGTGATGCTCAGTGTTTGCCTCGGTCTTAGGAGTTCTAAAAGGAAGGCCCTAAAGCAGTGCTGTGCATGTCCTTCTCCATCACTTCTAGGACAGAAGATGCTGAGCTGAATGACTTCTCTCCAGTGGCCCCTCCTCCCCTTCCAGCCATGCCAACACACGTAGTGTATCGCAGGCAGCTGCTGCGTTATGCCCTTCTCTCTCTAAAGCTGCAGTCATGGAAGCATGCAGCGCTATGAGCTGGTGGCAGTGTAATGCCCCAGTGCAAAGGCACAGTGTCCAGACGTTTCAGACAGTGGGAGGGACGCCAGAGGCAGGGAACTCTTCTCTGTTTTCAGCTGTGATCTAAAGCTCCTGCTTGGCCAAGTGGGACTCAGTGAGCTGGGCACGTTGCTATGTGTGTCTCTGGTACAGGAGCCTCTTCAGTCGCAATCAGCCAGCCTAGCAGAGCAGCGCTAAGTGGGGGCAGTTTGAACACAATGTTTGTTTTTATGGCTTGATAAATTAAATTCTCATTTTGAAGGAGGTGTGTGCTTTCTCATGTTCAAAATTCAGGCAATAGAATAAAAACCTTGAAAAAAAGGTGATTTGGTACAAAAGGTGTGTACATGGTGTGTGTGTGTGTGTGTGTGTGTGTGTGTGTGTGTGTGTGTAAGAGAGAGGGAGGACACAGAGGAAATAATCAAAGAATGTCAAACATACCATTTTGACACTATAAACTCGAGGGAAACTCCCTAAGTCTGGGCTTCAGCTCTCTGAGAGGGAAAATACCAATTTTAGTATTAAGCTTATGAAATGAAACAATGAAGAAAGCAAGCCATGTTGTGACTCATCAGATTAAATGAAAACATAGCTATGAATGCAATTAATAATGATTTCTCAAGCAGCTTGATCTCTAATAGCAACTGTTAGAATTGCCTTTAGGAATTTCATAGCTGCAAACAGACATGTTAAAATATTGTGTTGCCTCATGGGGCCCAAACCTCATGTAACGACTGCGATTTGCTTTTGATTGCTTTCCACTCTTTAGGTTCCAGGTCCTGCCTGTAAGGCACCCAGAACATTAATTGAATAAATGAGTGAGGAACTGCACCAAGAACCAGCGTCCACCATTGCAGCAGTGCTGGGAGCCCTGGACAGATTTTGGGCATGAATATATCACTGAAGCAAATGCATCAGCTTAGGATTCTTAAGGGAGTTCCTTTCACAGAGGTTTGGCTATAGTAGACCCAGAAAAACTGCTTTAAACTGTGGTCCCACTTACTGTAATTTTTGTGTCTTAACACCGAAACCTCAGTTCCTACAACTTCTGACATGTACCAGGCTGTCTTATTTAATAAGCACTTTACCAATTAGTAAAAACAACACTTTAGGAACAGATGAAATTAAAACAGTAAGTCAATAGAGAGAATCAATGAAACCAAAAGCCATTTTTAGGAAAGATCTATAAAGTTCTAGTCAGGTTAACTAAGAAAAAGAGGGGGGGGTAGAATTTATAAGTATCAGAAGTCACAGAAGGAATAGATCATGAATACCATGAACATTAAAAAGGATAAAAAAATATACATTGAGCTTAATCTTTAGAGTAAGTTTGATAACTGGATGAATTTCTTCAAAAGACAAAAATCTGTGAAAACTCACACAAGAAGAAGTAGATAATCAGCAGAGGTGGAAAGCTACTAAGGAAACTGAAATAATGACATTAACTTTCTAACACAGAAAGGGCTTATGCCAGATAAGCTGTCTGGTGAATTCTACTAAATATTTAAGGAAGAAATTATACCAATTATCTAGTCTTCTCCAGAAGACAGTGGCAGAGGGAATATATTCTACTTTAAATTCTCCCAGAACAGTATCATTCTAGTATCAAAATCAGACAAAGACAAAATAAGAAAATAAAACTAAGTACCAATATCTCTCATGAAAATAAGAGCAAAGTCCCTCATCAAAACACTAGCAAACTCAACTCAGCCACATATGAAAAGATAGACCATGATTAAATGGGATTTACCCCATAAGTGTAAATGCAGCTCAACAATGAAATATTATTTATTGTTGTGTATCATATCAACAAGCTAAAAAATAAAATCCACATGGTCATATAAATGGATACAGAAAAATCCTTTGATAAATATCTAACATCTACACCTGGTTAAGATTCCCAGGACAGCGAGGGGTGGACGGCTACTCCCTCCCCTTGGCCAGGAAGAAGGCCAAGACCTGCGCTTTGATCAGTGCTTTTCAATATGGTACTAGAAGTCCTATCTCGTGTACTAAGGCAACAAGAGAATAGGAGATGCAGAGACTGCAGAAGAGAAACAAAAACTATTTTTGTTTACAAGTGATTTTATTTCCTCAGAGCACAGAAGTAACCAGCAAAACTCCTGAAACTAATATGTAATTACAGCAGAGTTGGCTGACACAAGGTTCATACACAGAAGGCACTCGCTTTCCTTGATGCAGCAATAAGCAATTAGAATTTGAAATTAAAAGCACAATAGCAGTTACATTGTCACCCAAAATGCAGTGCTTGAGTGTAAGTCTAGCAAGATAGGTCCAAGATCTACAGGAAAACAAGAAAACTCTGAAGAAATAAAGTATAAAACTGATGAAATAAATCCGGGAGATGTTCCTTCTTCATGGTTAGAAAACTCACTGTTGTCAA